AGGAGACCATCCACAGTGGGCGACGTACGGAAGATGTTAGGGTTCCTGTCTTACTACCGTTCTTATATCCCAAATTTTTCACGCATCGCCCAACCGCTGTACCAGCTATTAACGGCAAGAGAGAGCGGTTCAGGTGAATCAGGAAGGGTCTCAAGGAAAGCAAAACCCAACCGGTCGAGGAAAGAAAGTAATCTAACATCACGGACACCCATTGAGTGGACACAAACCCATCAGGCGACACTGAGCAACCTGATTGATCACCTTGCAAAACCTCCAATCCTGGGTTTCCCAGATTTCACCCAGCCCTTTGTGCTACACTGCGATGCATCCCAGGAAGGATTGGGTGCGATACTGTATCAACGTCAGAATGGAAAGATGGTAGTGATAGCTTATGGGTCCAGAACACTAAGTGTCCCAGAGAAAAATTACCACATGCATTCTGGTAAGCTGGAATTTCTGGCGTTGAAATGGGCTGTTTGTGAGCGGTTCCGCCATTACTTGTACTATGCCCCGTCGTTTGTTGTCTACACGGATAACAATCCTCTGACCTATGTCCTCACCACCGCCAAACTGAATGCCACCGGGCACCGCTGGGTCGCAGAGCTTGCCGACTTTAACTTTTCCATAAAATACCGGCCAGGAAAAAAGAATGCAGATGCTGATGGTCTGTCACGCATGCCGTTGGACATCGACAAGTTTATGGAACAATGCACAGAACAAATGCAACCAGAAGTCCTTCAAGCTTCAGTGGAAGGAGTGGTAGTGGAGTGTGAAAATCCTTCACAAGGAACTGGGTACATTCACTTAAATGCCTTGAGTCTAGTGAGAGAGAGAGACCAAGGTGACCTGGGTCCACCACTGACCCCAGCCCAGATTCGAGAAGCTCAGGAGAATGACAGTATTATTGGGAAAGTCCTGAAGTTCAAGGAGAAAGATCAACGACCAGGTAGAGAGGCAGTAAAAGCGGAACATCCTGAGGTGGCGATCCTGTTAAAACAATGGGGTAAACTCTGTGTGGGTAAAGATGGAGTACTGTATAGGAAAACCAGGAAAAGAGAACAGTTGCTCCTACCGAAATCTTACCATTCCCTGATCCTAAATGAGCTACACCAAAAGATGGGTCATCTGGGTGTGGAGAGAACCCTCTGCCTTATCCGAGAGCGCTTTTACTGGCCAAGAATGCAGAGAGATGTGGAGCACTTTGTCACCAAAGTATGCGAGTGTCTGAAAAAGAAAAAGCCAGTCAGAGAAACTCGAGCACCGTTAACCCCGATTCACACCACACATCCATTTGAAATGGTCTCAATCGACTTTCTTCATTTGGAGACCTGCAAGCAAGGTTTCGAATACATTCTTGTGGTGATGGATCACTTTACTAGGTTTGCGCAGGCGTACGCAACCAGGGATAAATCTGCGAAGACTGTTGCAGAGAAACTTTTTAACGACTTTGCTTTAAAGTTTGGTTTCCCCTGTAAAATTCATCATGACATGGGCAAAGAATTTGACAACAAATTGATGAAGAAACTGAAAGAACTCTGTGGAATTTGCGGATCACACACAACACCCTACCACCCGCAAGGCAATGGACAAGTGGAGCGATTCAATCGCACTCTATTGTCCATGCTCCGTACACTTGCGGATGAGGAGAAAGTAGACTGGAAGAATTCCTTGGCTAAAGTGGTTCATGCCTACAATTGCACGAGAAGTGAAGCAACAGGGTTTGCGCCGTACTATTTATTGTATGGAAGATCCCCTCGCTTACCGATTGACATTCTTTTCAACTTGAAGACAGATGAAGTGTGTGGCACTTACCAGGACTATGTGTCTCGTTGGAAGGAAAGGATGGGAGAGGCATATCAAATTGCCGAAAAGACCGCTTCACAAGCAGCAGCCCGTGGGAAAAGTTACTACGATCAGAAGGCTCAAGGGAGAGATCTTCAGCCTGGTGACCGGGTCCTGATCCGCAATTTGACTCCTAGGGGGGGCCCTGGGAAGATACGTTCATACTGGGAAAATCAGGTATACGTAGTTAAGGAAAGGAAACACGCTGAAAGTCCGGTGTATGAGGTGAGACCTGAAAGCAAGAAGGGAAAAAGCCGTGTCATCCATAGGAATCTTCTCTTACCGTGTGACTTCCTGCCGCTGGAAAGGGAAAAATCTGATCGACTCCGCTCACAGAACACTCGAAATATGGATAAAGAGAGTAAGAGTGACAGAGACAAAAAGAGTCAGATTCCAGTAAACGCTGAAAGTGATTCAGAGGAGGAGTATGTTCTTACGGGTCAGTGGCAAGAGGGGAATTGTTTGCCTCTTAACCCAAGAGCACTGCCCTTTAAGCCTCGAGATGAAACCCTTCAGAGCGAAGAGGATTTGCCCCTTCAGAGCGAAGAGGATTTGCCCCTTCAGAGCGAAGAGGATTTGCCCCTTCAGAGCGAAGAGGATTTGCCCCTTCAGAGCGAAGAGGATTTGCCCCTTCCAAGTTGTTCTGTAGAAGGGGACTTGCCCCTAAACCTTGAGGAAAATGTTCCCTGCTCAAGTCATGGAGACATTGACAGTGACAATGGTGTAAATGACAGTGAGTGTGAGATGGACTCTCCAAAACCCCTGAGACTTTATCCAAAGCGACAGAGACAGAAATCAGTGGTATTCACGTATGATACCTTAGGCCAACCTTCTTTGGTCCAAAGGGACTGCTCGGTAGAAGTAAAGCAGTCGCCGGCACCAAGCGGTCATTTCTGGAGACCCTGGAGCATAGTTGAGAGTTGTTGACTCCTGATGAGAAATGGTTAAATTTGTTTCAAGTTATTTTGAAATGTCAGGAGACATTTGGTTTTGTGGGGGAGAGTGTGGCACTAGTGTAAATTAAAACAGAAACGGAAGACCCCCCCCCAAAATTTGAGACTATTATACTTTTATATTCAGAGTAATCTATTCAGACTAAAATTCTGAATGCGCTTGAAGTGTGTCTTTGACTCCTGTTAGTGACATTGATAGATATCTGCAAGAATGACATGTACTCATAAGTATACTGGGTATAGCAATTAGTCCAAACCACTAGAGGGAGCTCTTTCCAAGGTCTGCTCAAGAATGCACGTAATATAGCAGTTAACGCAGAGACGAGCAGATAACACACCGAATTGAGATGCTCCATGAATGACTAATTGTATACTGTTAAATCTGTCTTGCAGGTAAGATTGCTTGTGTCTATTGTGGGTCAGGGTGGTCCATGAGCAGTTATGTTTAGTGTTTGGGTATTTAGGATTTGTGTTCGGTAGGTTTTGAGCATAAAAACTATTCTTATTACCCGTGATAAGAGCGTGATCAGAAATGACGGCAATGAAAGCTCGTATGTGAAACAATAATTGGTATTGTACAATAGAGATGGAAAGAAAGTATGCACAGTAATTTTATTCAGCGGTTGTGTGATACTGACGGGTAAAATAATACTTAAAGTGACGCGAGTTCAGTAGCGCACGTGGAGTTCGCGGGTGTCCGCCATTTTGAGCAAATTGTATGCAGCGGGGACATTAGAGTTAAGGGAAACTCAAACGAAGTGATTTGCTCATTAATAGTCTAAAAGGGTCGTGAAATGTGACATAAGAGAACATTAAAGTGTATTGTGTTATTTAGAGTAACAATTCATGCTGGGAAAGGGAATGTATATACTTTGAAAAGTGTTTAACAGACAATTAAGGGGAAATGTATAGATTCAAATTAAGTTTAACAAGGGTTATTTGTTTTTTTGATATGGGGCAAGATAGATTGTACGTTCACATGTTTCATTTGCAAACTGTATGTTCAAGTGAATGTTAATTTAGGTTAGTGAGCAACAGGTAATGTTACAATGAGCAATTAGAAAATGTCATACTGGATTTAAGAATGCACGTAATATAGCAGTTAACGCAGAGACGAGCAGATAACACACCGAATTGAGATGCTCCATGAATGACTAATTGTATACTGTTAAATCTGTCTTGCAGGATTGCATGCAAAAAAAACCAATATTAAATGTGTTGCACCAGAAAAGACGTCTGATCCTTTCTAAATGTGTAACAATGGCAGCCAGACAGTATCCACTAAGATGCTGAGTAGAGGGAATAACAGATTACGCGTTTCAACTGCAAATCCTTGTTTTTTTTTTGTGTGTTTTTTTTTGTAAAATTGAAGAGAACAGCAAAACGTTGAATGATTACGGTATAATAATAGTAATAATAATAAAAAGACGGAAATGGTCAACAAAGTGAGCGTCAAAGCTACTCACCTCCTTCCTCCAATGCTATCCACTTCCAAAACCACAGGTTACATGCACCTATACCAAGTGATGTAGCAAACTGGAAGTGAAAAAAATTTAAATTAAAGACATCAATCCACACCTGGTCATTCTGTAAAAGAAATTCAGGAAAGATCATCTAAAACCACGAATAGTAGATCACAAACCTGGTGATAGCCATTAATCCTCGATTCATCCAGCAGCTTTCTTTTTCTCTACTAGACGCGAGCAGACCAATTCACTCTGGAAGACCAGTTTGCTTGTAAACCAGCATAAACACCTCGATCAGTGGCCCGTGGGGTTGAAGCGATTTGACTGAACTCGGATCATGTCTAAAGATTAAGAGACATGACATAAAATTAAGCATGAATTAATTTCATAAATTGATATTAAAATGGTATTATTCATTATTCAAACACTTACTTGCAAAAAATGTCATTTATGATGATCTCCATAAGGAAAAGAACAACTAAACTAAGCAAAAGCTCAGTGGCATTTTTAAATTTAGGGAGCTGATTGTTTGTTTTTAAGCTTAATAATCCACTAACTACATCATGCCTCCTGCAAGCAAAAGTTTGTTTTGTTTTTGTGTCTCGGTTGTGTATAAGTTGAAGCGCTATCATCACGAGACAAAGAAAATATAGCTATTGGTTGTCTCAAGTTACCTCATGGGATCACAGTAGTTTAAATTAAGGACAACAAATAAATGTTTGATAATAGATTTAATAAATCAGAGAACTATTACAAGCAACGTCTGGTTTTGCCTTATTTTCTTGTCTGTAACACACGGTGGCGCCACAACTCTTTAAATTAATCTTTCATTTTCAAGTTTCATTTAGGTGTGTCTCAGGATTTACAACAGATACATTTATGCTTTAACACTTCAAACAAAGTAAATATTACAACTAGGAAGTGTCTAGAAACATCTAGTAAAATAAGTATTTAGTTTAAAGAAGTTTGCTTCTTTACAAAGATATTTTGAAAACTAAAGAACTATGAAAATAAAGCCACAGATTTACATTTTATGATCAATGCCAGTATATCAGTAGTATAGTACATTGATTTCAGACCCTGGCAGAAGTTATCATTCCTTTAAGGGCTTGTCTTTTTCCTTGCAGCTTAACTTCTTTACCCAAGAATCAGGCAAGAATGGTACTTTCTCCAGGCGGGACAAATAAGTTAAGGGCTGGATAGTGCTGCTGATGTTCAAGAAGGCATAACCCACTGGCTGCACATAGCAAGTGAAGGTCTTGTGTGGATAATGGTCTTCAAAGGGGAACAGAGCAACTGGAGGGAGATAGTTGCTCACGATGATGATCAAGATAGACAGCACCATCTTAAACGCCTTTCTTTTCATCGGATGCATCTCATCTTTACCAGAGCCTCGTGAGCGTTTCAGGGCCCAGAGGATGGCCACGTTACACACCACCATCCAGGTAAAAGCAAACAAGACCTCAAAAGTGAAAACCTTTTCAAAGTTGGGCAGACCACCAACAGCTTTGGCCGAAGCATAAGCAAAAGTGAGCAGCAGAACCACAATGCTCAGGCCGATCCTGTATTTGATGTCCTTCAACTGTCCGAATGCGATGGGGAAGAGAACGGCTATAAATCGATCCAGACAGACACACGAGAGGAAGAGCGGCCCGCTGGTGTCCTTAACGCCATAAGAGAACTTCAGAGCCCTCCAACCCATAGCACTTTTCCAGTGGTAGAGATTGAGGAACAGTATGATAGTCATAAATCCGAAGTAGGCGTCCATGAAGGCCAGGCAGCCCAGGAAGATGTCAGAAGTTGAAGGCTCATTCCGGGTGTTTATCAGGTTTGCTAAGACCAGGATGTTGGCAGGTATTCCTATGATCACGTTGAAGGACTGTATAGCTAGGTCAAAAAGGATACCACTCACCATTTGTTCGCACCCATCAAACACACTGATGGTATGCGTCGAATTGTCGGAATCGGTCGTTAGGTTAGAAGAATTCAGGTTGCTTTTGAGGATGTATCTTGTTATTCTGTTGTAACATAGTTGACCATCCATGACTTCTAGTGAACTGAAACCAATGAATGAAATTCTGGAGGGGGAGAAAATTAAATGATAAAGATAATTGAACATTAACATGACAATATAATTAGACATTCCTGTTAACATTAATGATATATGTTTTAGAAATGGATATCAGATTTAGATTGTTTTATACTAAATAGAGCCTTGAATGGTGAAGTGTTTATTTTAGGGCTGACCAAACCTGCTCTTGGAGGGCCACTGTCCTGCATATCAATAATGCATCCTTGAACCAGCTAATCAATGGCTTGACTAGAAACCACACAGTTGTGTAGGGAAGGCTAAACTCCGTAGGACATTGGCTCTTCCGGAGCAGAATCGAACATCCCTGACTTATGTCCTCTTAGGGAGGCAGTGGTAGCCAATCCTGCTCCTGGACAGGAAAGTCCTGCAGGGTTTAGCTCCATTGCCTTTACACTGCTTAATAGGTAAATTTGTGCACATGTAATTATACTTTAAGCTTCATAGACTTGGAAAGTCCATTTAGGTCTTCCCCAGGGGTAGCCAATTATGTTCCTGGAGTGCTACTGTCTTACAGAGTTTAGCTTCAACTCAAATCATGTAAACCTGAACCAGGTAATTAAGGTGTTCAGGTTACTTGAGAATGACATGATTACTTCATGTTTTGGTGCAGGGTTGCAACTGAAGTGTGCATGAAGGCTGTCCTTTACGAGCAGAGTTGTACACTTTCTTGAGTGGTAATGAGTTCTGTTTGGTACAGGGCGTCTGAGAAGATTCAATCTTAATGGCAATTCATGGATCATCTAAAATTTTGAGATCTGACAATACATCAGCTATGACAAACAGTGTCTCCCCCGGGGATATTCTCCTGTTATCCTGCTACATATACCCATAGGAGGGGAGCCACAGCACAAACACAAGTACACAGAGTACACAACAACACATCTGTGCAGAACAACTGTCAAGAGGGAATTCAGGGTCCATAATAGACAGACATGAGACCAGCCCCATTGTGAATAGTATTGATTTAACATGAAAATTGATTTGCCAGGAAGGTCATGTGTTGCATGAGTTAATTCACTGTTTCTCTCCAACCCTGGTTCTGGAGTGACCCCCAACACTGCATATTTGGTACGTCTCCCTATTCCAAGGGTGTCCAATCCTCCTCCTGGAGAGTGAATGTCCTGCAGAACTTGGCCCAACACACCAACCTGGAAGTTTCTAGTCATCCTGAAGATTTTCTTAAGCTGGTTTAGACGCATTTCATCAGGGTAAGAAACAAATCATACAGGAAGTTGGTCTTCCAGGACCAGGATTGGACATACATGCTCCAATCAAACACCTCATTATTGTAGACTTCAATAGATGTGTTGCAATTAGATACTGTAAAAAGACATGCAAAAGGTACACTGCTGGCGGTCCTCCAGGACAAAAGTTGGGAAACATAAAACATGTCAAACCACAACTTCTGTGGTTCATCTGTCTCCTTTATAGTCGAGTGTTGGTGAAGCACCACCCTAAGTCAAGTACCACTGTTCCACTGCTCCACAAGGGTCTCAGAAGGACTCTCATGTCCTTACTCTTTCTCCCTTTAGGCTAAACTCTCTCCAGTGGTACACCTGCTAAAGGATAAGGAGGCTCTCAGGGATTGATCTTAATCTGTCGTGTTTTTCTCCTTCAGCCCTGGGGACTTCAACCAGCTAGAGGGGGATAATGGAAACTTGATTCTGACAAGTGTTAAAGTTATTTGAGTGTGTTAAGTCTGTTGTGAACTATTCACACACTCTCAATCAGTGGTTCTTAACAGTGGTTCAGATGTACGCCCAACTCTACACAACTTTTTGTATGTCTCCATAATCAATCCTGATTCAAATTGCTCGTTAAGTAGAGACTCTGTAACCTGAAATGGGTGTGCTAGATAAGAAAGACGTCCAAAATGTCTACTGTTGTGGTACAGAATGACCAGGGTTTGGGAAACACTGCTTTAAATCAGTATAATTCCAAATTAAGTCAAGAAAAAATAACCACGCATTCTATATCTGAAACAACTTTAATTTACATAATCATTACACTATGGCAGGGAAATAGCCAAACAAGTTTCAACCACATCCCTCCTGTGTGACAGGTGCAACACCAACTTAGCAGAAGTGTAGATTGCAAGAAGGTGTGTTTTTGATTGATAATTTCATCAACTGGTGAAAGCAGTTTGAGGCAGTTTTAAGGGGTTGTATACTTACATTATTAAAAATGAATGAATGAATTGACCTATTGGTAACTTTTTGAGCTCCTTGTGCTACTTTCCTCCCCACCACCCCTTTTACTGCTGAAGCAAAACATTTCTTAATAGTGCTGTACAACAGAGGTAAAGCTAATCAATTCTCATAATAAATTCGGTCACATAATCTCTTATTTTCCATGCAAGAGTTATAGAAAACAGGCTCTATTTTGAAAATTGGTTGTGTGCTCTTCTTATGGATCTTTGATCTTACACCAAGTGAGCCAAACACCCCCAATGAAAGCTTGACTGTTTAGAAAACTGATAATAATGTTGGTAATATTAATGTTATAAAAAACACATAATATTCACTTGGTTCGAGTGTTGACTCCATCATGACTAAAGTAGACCAGAAAAGGCATAAACTGCCAAGGCACAGCATTATGAATGCAAGGAGAAAAAAATGGCTCTTGGTTTTGTTCTTTTGAAGAGAGTAAAGACATCTTATATTATTATTAGTGCAGACTGATCTCATGAAATGGCCTATGTATGACACACCAATTAGTATTTTAATTTTTGGCGTGCTATCAATACGCATAATCGCTTTTCAGCGTGTTTATGAACGCCGTTGACTTAACGTTACTTTACTGTATATATAAATATATGACCTACCCCAATCCCGTCCCTAAACCTACCCGTCACTTGGGTTAATACCATTTATGAGTCTTCCCCTACCATCCTAGTAAAAAAAAAATATCGCTCCCCAGATGTAGATCTACATTTTGCTTCATTTCGCTGACATTTAACAGCGTAGACATAAACGCATACACGCGTATAGCTCAAAATGCGTATAGATAACACGCCACTTGACTTTAAAGTGGCGTGTATGTTTACACAAAGGTCATGATGTCATGTTGATTAGTGAATGTCCTCTCACCAAAATAATACCAGATGAATGTTAATCGATTATGGAAACAAACACTGTTTTCCCACATGCTAGTCAACATGATTCTGTTAAACTCTGCAAATTTTCTAAATCACTTTGCTGGTATGACCAGTTACTGAATTCACATAGCTTTCTCTTCTCATTTTGCCAATAATGTACTGCATCAGTATTGTTAAGATGTTTTGGGACAAATATTAAAACTTTGAATGAGTAAATTATCAGTTTCCCTTCTCCAGAAGACATTTTTTGTCAAGTCTTGTACTTGTATTTGAATAGTAAAAAAAAATAAAATAAATAAATTTAGCTAAATCTAGCAAGTACAATTTAAAAATCAACATATTTATGTTACTGTTGTAAAAATGATGCGAATAAAAGAAAACTTCAAAGTTTTAAAAATGTACCAAAAATATCCTATTACCATCAGTGTCATTTTACATTGTTTTATTAAAAACTCTTTTTAGTTAGAATAGTTGAACATGCACTCAGCTTAACCAAGTGCACAATAAACAACCATTTATGTAATGAAAAAACCCTATGGCACAAATAATGACATTATTAAGACATGTATAAAGGTATTTAGGGCTATCAATATGCATTACATGAAGATCGAAAAGATAGAAAAGACAAGAAAACGTGTGCAACTTACCAGATAGACGTTTTTAATCGTAAAGATGTGGGTTCGATTGTGGAGTCGCCTTTATAAACATCACGAGGCCATGAGGAATTGCAATTGTTGATAGGAGGCAGGGTCTTTTTTGAGGAGCTTTCTTGACTCGGTCCCTGATGGTGAATTAGACTGTGTTTTCTAGATTCATCTTTCCTCACAGGATCAGAACTATTTTGGTGGATGTTTTCTTGGTAAAAGCTCATAGTGTGTTGCTTTAGAACTTACTCATTAGGATTATTTTTAACCATATGGATCCAATTTAGTAATAGGAAAGAGCAGCTTTTCTAAGAAAAAGTGAGAGATCTTTCAGTTTTTACATTTTCTGCCTACGATGTTCCCACATGTCCATTTTGGAATAATAAAAAATAAATTTCTCTGAATGTAATTTAGCCAATATGTTACTCATTCCAAATTGACAAAACATTTAAGAAATTTAGTCTGTACTTCTTACAAAAGTGTACTATTATTATAAAGATTACTCTATGTATGAGGGCAGTGAAAAGACTGCATAAATTCAGTCAGATCAGAGAGAATAAATGGGTTCGGTGAGGCATGATCCAGCCCATCACACAACACCTCTCCCCTGACTCCGACTTTCATGCTCCAAACTCGATCTGGGGGCAGATTTGCATCTTGGGACAGGTCCTGGTTTTATACCACCGGCCCAGAGGCCCTCATGTCAGTCTTGTTCCCTCTTTCATTGCAAACAGAGAGCACAGGTGCAGGACTCTGCTGCCAGTATGTGTGCACTTGCATGACTGCCATGTGTTACTATATGTGGCTGCTCCTGATGGAGGGTTTCATAAGTTGGAGAAATTGTTTTTTTATGATTGTGTATCAAGACTCTAGAAAGTCTTATGAAAAAAAGTAGGTATTTGTAAAGGAAACTAGCAAGTGCCAATTACTCAAACACTTACTGTACTTAATGTAGTTCCTACAGTATACACATGGGGATCAATCCGGCTCATGGAGATCTGCACTCTTGCAGAGTTTAGTTCTATCCCTATACTTTAATACAACTGCATTTTATAACTGGAAAATCTTGATTACCTAGTTCAGGTGTGTTTGAATAATGTCAGATCTAAACTCTGCAGGAAGGCTGATCAGGATTGAACAGTTCCCCTCTTGTACAGCTTTCCCATGGGCTAAACCAGTATACCATAATGCCATTTTGTGTCCATTAGGGACTTCTTTTCAAAGTTGAATGGATTTTACC